CTAAAACCCAAACTAAACGCTAACCTGGCGTGGGTTTGGAGCCCTTCCAGTTTCTATGGTTTAGGTACGGTCATATAAGGATTAGATCCACAGACACTTGTAATGTTTATCCCAAATCAAGCTAACAAAAGCCCTAAGCCGCAGACTCTATGGAGGCTGCTTTCTTCTGCAGTTGGGAAGCCACGCTTATTGCTTACTTAGAGGATCAGGGGACTTAGTAAGTAGGGTTAGAATTAGGGCAACTAATATTACCACCGTTATATCATTATATTAAAAATCAACCAAATACATTATTGACAAAGTTTTATGGAATGTATCGTGTTAAGACACCAAATAGGCAACCAATTTATTTTGTGGTAATGGGTAGTGTATTTTATACTCACTATGATATTCATAGAATATTTTGAGAGCAAATAAGCTTTAAAATTCAAAATCATTGCTGATTGCATCAATCATGATGATATCATGATAAGTGTTGTATGAATACTGGTTTGTAGCAGCTACTACTTTCAGCACTAGTATAGATTAGTTAAGCCGATAGTAGATTCAGTAACTAGTTAAGGTAAGTAACACAACTTAATTATTGTACAGTTACAAAAGTTTTAGGTATCAAAACTTATTAATACAATATTCGATTACTTACAAAGTGAACAACAATCAAAAACTTTCGAGTATAAAATCTACAGTTCTATATGTTCATGGTTTGTAACTGCCTTAAATTAATTTTTTTCAAAATGTATAGTTATAGTGTTGGTAGGGTGTAGGGTTTAGGGGCCCTAAGCCCTAAACCCTAAACCCTAAACCCTAAACCCTGATGTTGGGGGGTAAGGACGGGGAGCCCTTCACCCTCAACCCCAAACTTAAAATGATCTTCAAACTGATGTGAGGCATCCTTCGAAGCGTTTAGGGTTTGGGGTTAGGGTTGTTTAGGGTTTAGGGTTCAGGGTTCAGGGTTTAGCGTTTTCAGAGTTTTCAGATCCCGCTGCTTTAGAGCTTGGGTTGACTTGCAAAGAGTGTCTACAAGTACGCGTGCGCACTGACCTGCAATTTCGGGCTTGCAAGGCAGGGCTTGTTCAGGTTTCTTAAACCCTAAGCCCTCAGCCTCAAGTTTAGGGTTTAGGGTTTAGGATTTAGGGTTTAGGGTAAACCCCAAACCCTAAACCCTTTCGGGCTGACGTGGTAGGTTGCTTTCAGCCCTAATCCAGACTCTTTTCCACAAGCGCATATCGCCTTGGGGTCTACTCTGGGAATTCAACCCCCCCTACCCCCTAACATTAAATACCCCCCCCATATACCCAAAGAGCCCAATGCCCCTTACTTACTTGATGCAGGAATCCTTAATATGATGTAAGGTATCTTCCTTCACTAAGGGTTCTTGGGCTCTTTGGGTAATGGGAGTATTTAATGTTAGATTAGGGGCTGAATACCCTAACCCAACAAAGGTTAACCTTCAAATTTTTAAATAGGATTGTATATAACCATAAAGGTTAGTTAAAGGTTAACTACCCAGCCCCTAAGTAATTTCAGGGGGAGGTGGATTATTTGGGAGGACTGCACAGAAGTCGGGACGAGAAACCCGAAGTCTGACCTCCTGGCTCGCCTGGCTGCGGTGCCGAGATTTGATTGGGGCCAGGGTTTAGGGTTTAGGGTTTAGGGTTTAGGGTTTAGGGTATGGGACATATGGGGGAAGATTGGGGGATCCCCAATACAGATCCCCAAGTAGTAGTATCCCCCGTATAGTAAGGACCCCAATAAGGTATCCCTATTTTCGGAGACCCCCATATGAAGGATTAGAGAATGATTAAAACAGGGGCGTGTGTGCGATCTGGAATCGCAGCCTTTCACGGATGCCTGGGTGGTCCCACCCGGCTTGGACACTGTGGGCATCATGATGTGCCACTTTGGCAGACACTACCGCAGTGCGGAACTGAACAGAACAAAGCAAAACAGCCCTAAGCATGTTCATGTGAGCAAGCCAAAAGAAGCCTGGCATCTCAGACTATTGCTATCTATTTATAGGGGTTGCTTGAATTGCGACCCATTTGGGTTCATTGGCAGGGGTACGTATAAGGGGAGTCTACATCTTCACAGCGTCACCTAAAGCACTTGCTGGGCAAGCGGCATGCCCCTTCTGGCTCTATAGCATCTTCCGAAGTTCAGAAAGAACAAACCCTAAATGCGCAAATGCTAAAACCCCAAACCCTAAAACCTCATACCCTAAAACCCTCTTCCTCAAAACCACACACCCCACAGCCCTATACGCTAAACCCGGGTTCCTTGAACCTTCAGGGTGGTCGGTTTGGTGCCACGGGCACCCTGGGACAGCCTGGGACCCCCTAAACCCTAAACCCTAAACCCTACACCCTACACCCTAAACCCTGATTTCGAAATGCGGCGTCTGCGCGGGTCTGTGGCTGCAGGGTCCGAATCTGATCCGAGTTCAGAACCCTTAAACCCTGAACCTGTTTGCAACCTCTCTGCTTTTGACGTGTCGTGGTGGCTGTTGTGGTTGTTGTTGGAGTTGTAGTTGTAGTTGCCGTTGCAGCTGGTGTTGTTGTTTTGTGGCCGCCATGGCTGGCGGGAAGTAGTGGTCGTGAACCGGCCCCGAGGCTCAGCAGCTAGCACACTTGTCTACCAGACAAGGCGCAAGTTGGGAAAGTGTTGACTCTACTTTGGTACGGATCCACGTCGCGGCTCGGCACAGTGTACAAGCGGACGCGCTGTGTTGTGGTTGGCTGGCTTCGGCCACAGGCCTCCTAGTTGTGTTCCTGGCGATTCGAGCTGCTGACCTCCACTCTGGTCTTATGGCCCTCCACGAATGAGTGTGGCACGCCCGACCAACCAGCCGTTCTGTGAGCCCCGGGCGTGGTGGCTCACAATTAGGGTGGCGGAGGCTTTTTGGTGAACTCAACGTCACAAGTGAACTGCAGTAGCTAAGGGTCGCTGTGGGGCAAGTCATCTATTCTAATTCTTCAGGCCCTATCATTCGGGCTTACTCCGACTGGAATGTTGCTGAAACCAAGCCGGTCAGGGAGGCTCAGGAATGTCGTCGTCGACAGAGGAGGGAGGCCCAGCCGAGCAGCTCTACCGGAATGTTAGGTCAGGGACGCTTATGGTAAGGCGGGCAACTGTACCGAAGAAGTCGCCTTAATAATAATAAGCAGGCCAGGGACAGTGTCGGAATGCGAATCCGTGCAATTGGTCTTTAAGGACAAGGTGGGGATGTTCGAAGTGGTAATTTGTTTGTTATTTGTTGCGTGCTTGTTGTCGTCTGCTGCTGTTTGTTGCTGCCTGTGAGCCCTTGCAGCCAACATCCGGACCCTTTGCCAGCCACGAGCACATCGCTTGGACACATCATGACATGGCCTTGGAGCCTAGATTGTGTACTCCCTTCCTCTTTATTGGGAAGGGGGAAAGACAAATTGCAATACTGGCGAGGCTGGATGCACCAGGGCCACCAGGGTTGGGGTTTAGGGTTTTGGGGTAGACCATTAGACCCACTGCTGCATCAGTTCGGTTCGAGTGCGGATGCTTAAAGGTAGTGTGCGGCATTTCAAATTGCAGCCTCTCGCTGCTGCATGTGCATCTTTCCTACCAAAATCACTGAATGCGGACATCCACTCATCCAAGTTCTGGACGGACTGGTGCGCTGCTCAACAAAATTCGCAGCCAGTTCAAGAAGAAGGATGTCTGTTCACTGATTGCATTTCCGCGGGCTTTCTGCCGGTAATAGTTGTGTGGATTCACGGTGGCATGCCCGTGGCTGTATGTCACCCAGGCATTGTCCAAGCCTCCTTCGCCCGCCACTGCATAGGTAAGCAGCCGCAGCACTAAACCCTAAACCCTACACTGAGTTGCGCGTTAAACCCTTTGAAAACTACTTATGAAACAGATTTCCTCAGAAGGAAAGACAGGAGTTTAGAAAGTATCCCCAAGCACACCCCAGTACACCCTACAGCCTAAATCTTGGAGCTTCAATGTCAAGGTCCAAAGTTTCTGGGGCCCCGGGGATGGAGACTGCTATCTTCCTTATCTGTTCGGGTCCATAGGGGCCCAGACATCCGAAGCCCTTCACCGTAAACTCCCTATAAACACCAAGCGTGTACATGGGCGCGAGGGTGAAGGACAAGTTTAGGCGGTATTCTTTGGGTGCGGACGTCCCGGCATCAACTCAACGCCCCCCGCTCTCTCTCGCTCGCTCTCTCTCTCTCGCTCTCTCTCTCTCTCTCTCTCGCTCTTCCTCCCTCTCTCTCCCCTTCCATGTCGCTCTCCCTCTCCGGTTCACACACACACATTCCCTCTCCTCTCCCTTATCTTTCTTCACTCTCTTCTCTCTCCCTGCAGCTCTTGATAGGGAAGTAGGGTTCGGGATATTGCTTCTTGAAGTGACCATGCCCCAGTCTCCTGACTCGGCAACCTGGACTGTAACAAAGAGTTGCCCCCAGCACGGAAGAGAAGCAGGGGCTGGCTTGGATGGCAGAACACAGGACCAGTAAGCTTTCCGTTGGCGCCTAGAAGTAGGGCTGGAAGGAAAGGTAGCCATCGAAGCTATCATGGTATTTCAACTTCCTTCATTCCCTACTGGCCAGCAGAAGGCAGGTATGTTGAAGCCTGAAGCTGTAGTCGAGTGTGCCAAAAAGGGCTACTGGGCTGTTTTGAAACAATGTGATGAAGCGAGTTCGCGACACTGTATTGTCCCACTTCGGCAATGCGCTCACATCATGCCTTGGCTGGCGAGTGACGGAGTGGTGTAGGGTAGACTATGGTGGACAGGCTAGCACCTGGCTGACCCACGATGCTCGTTGTGTGCCACCTAGCAACCTGCAAGCTGCTTCGTATCTTGGTAGCCTGCACCTGCAACCCTAAACCCTAAACCCTAAACCCTAAACCCTAAACCCTAAACCCTAAACCCTAAACCCTAAACCCTAAACCCTAAACCCGTTCAGGAACTGCCGTAATCAGACTGTGGGTCCTGCGACCAGGTGGCCGAGCAATCTGTATCACATAAACATTGGCGGGCTGGGACCGTCCTGCAGTCAGTGGGTTTAGGGTTTAGGGTTTAGGGTTTAGGGTTTAGGGTTTAGGGTTTAGGTTTGGGCGAAGTGCTTAGGATGTAGTGGTCCAGGCTTTCGAAGGTTTTAGGGATAGAGGATTACCTGCTGGTATCCCATGTACACAACATACGCATTCCATGTACACACAAAATACGCACAGCCCTAAGCCAAATCTTGAAAACCTCAACGAAGAAGCATCTGATTCGGGTTCAGATTTGGGGGTTTACGAAAAAAAGGGAGCCCTAGCATAACTCCCATAGTAGGCGTCCCTTATAGTAAGGACCCCGACAAGGTATCCCGAAATTCGGAAACCCCGATGTGTTTGGATGTCAGAGCCTTGACACCCCGCTGAGGCTTTCGGTTGAAGGGCTTAGTAGGGTTCATCGAAGTGGCTCGAATCCCCTATTTCTGCTTTGGCTTAGGGTTCAGGGTTTAGGATTCAGGGTTGACACCCTTATGGGGGTTTACGAGATTATACCTTATTGGGGTCGGTCCTGATTATAAGGGAATCCTACTATGTGGGGGTTTATAGTAGGGGTCCCTACTTTTCGTAAACCCATGTAGGCAAGGCGCCGGTTATTGGGAGTTTCGGGGTTTTACATTTAGGCTTCGGGATTCGGAATCATGGCTCGCTTTTGTCAGGTTCCCGGTGTCCTTCTTCGAGACCCCCCTGCTGGCCTCCTATTTCGACTGAAGGTTTCCTTGCTGCTCCATCACGTTTCCTTCTATTTATGAGGGTTAGGCGTTGCCAGCATCGCTCCTGGTGTAGAGGGTTTTCAATACAGGGCATAAGGTCAAAAAGAGCAAATACCCCTAAGATAGTTCCCTGCCCCCAGCCCACTTCAGCCCCCTATGCAGAATGCCCTGCAAGGGTTGGACTGCAGCGGTTCTGTGCGGAATTCTCTGCTTTGTGGAGTTCCTCCGCCGGGTTGTGCGGGAAGAATACTCTGCCGGGTGCTCCATGGGAGGTCTGTCAAGGAATACTCTGCTGCCCCCAAACCTTAAACCCTAAACCCTAAACCCTGAACCCTGAACCCTGAACCCGCAACCGACCACTAAGATCCACGGGGTCCCGGTAGACATGTGCGTCTGGTGGATGGCGGGGAGGCGCGAACACCTCCTTAACTCGCGGCGGATGCCTACTCAGGGTGACCAAAAACACCCTTTTTGAGAGAGGGTACTATAACTTGCTATTGGGCGTATATAGGTTACTCTAAGTCAAGCCTGGAGACCAAACCCCTAAACCGAGCCTGCTGAGCACAAAGTACCTTCTGAACATCAAGCACAGGGGCTAGAGGTTTCATCACGAACAAACGCAATTGGATTAATTCTGACTGTTTACAGTTCAACAGAAGCCTAACGTCATGAGACCATGTACTGCCATTGCAGCATCATAGTAGCCAGAGCCCACTGCCACAGCGGTTCAGGGTGTAGGGTTTAGGGCAACTGCTGAACCGACTGACAGCAAAAAGAATACAATGGTATACGAATAACAATACACGAACATTAACAGGAGTGTAGTAATACAAGGCCGAAAAAGCCGGAGTGAGCAGCAGGCCGCCAAAGTCCAGAAGCCCCTTACTTCCTAAACCCAACCGTTTTAAGGCTATGTCTCCCTGTGGACAAACCCTCAACGGGTTTCCTAGACTTGCGGTCGGCATGCAGCGTTTGCCACTATGGTCCCTGTCTGGCTGCCCTGAATCTAAGGCCATCTGTGCTTTTTGTGAGCGTAAAACATCAACCTTGGACCCAAAGTCCAACTAAGCCCAAATAAGACCCGTTTTGCAAGCAAGGAGTGGTAGCTTAGTTGCGCTAGACCCAGGTAAAACAGGCCATGAGTCTCCAAATACGCCCTGACCCTGGCACCCGAGCCTGAACCCCAAAATAATGCTTGTAGACCCAGCTATGAAAGCCATGAGCCTCCAATAGGCCCTCGCCCTAGAACCCTAGCACCCTAAACCCTACAGATCCCTACAGTACCTAGCAGCACCCTGAAGCCCAACCCCTAAAACCCTAAATCCACTCCGTCTGCCCAGCCGCAGGTGTGGGCCATGCTAGCTGATGCCCCAGCGAGTGATGAGCTGACGAAATTGGCACCAGGGAAATCGTTCGCCAACCTGCAGAAGAACTCTTCTAAGCCAAAACGCTGGAACCCTGGAACCCTGGAACCCTGGAACCCTGGAACCCTGGAACCTTGGAACCCCTAAACCCTAAACCCTAACCCTAAACCCTAAACCCTAAACCCTAAACCCTAAAACCTAAACCCTAAACCCTAAAGCCCTGAACTGGTCGAGAGGATGTTGAGGCTTTCCGAGGTTTTATGGGGTGTTTGCTTGGGATGCCCGAAGTACAGCTCTCACGGACTTCAGGGGCTTAGGGTTTAGGGTTTAGGGTTTAGGTTCCTTCTTCTGTTTGCGGGGAGCGCTAGATGTTGGGGTGTCTAGTAGATTTCATGTGTGGTCGCTTCGGCTGTTTGAGGTCAGAGCTTAGGTCGGTCGCGAGGTTGAGGTTTTAGGGTTTTGGGTTTTGGGGGTTTAGGGCTTCAGGGCACAAGTCCTAACCTCAATTCCGAAGAGATTGGAGCGGCAAAAACGTCTCGGAAGCATGTAGAGTAGATGGAGGATGCAGGTCTCACAGTTTGGCGGGCTTCAAGGTTTACAGACTCAGGGAACAGGTCAAAACCTAAACCCTAACCCTAAACCCTACACACGTTCATCACCAGCAGAGATGAAGCCACCCCAGGCAACCCCAGTCTCCACCCGAAAATCCCCTCTGTAACCCCCTATTAAGGACTGTTAGTAAAGGGGGAACATGCCAATGCATGCTAGAATATGCACTGCTTGAAGATGCAAGTTGACACCACGGATCCTGGTCTGAATTCCGAGTTCAGGGTCCCTAAACCCTAAACCCTAAACCCGACACCCTAAACCCTAAAGCCTGTCGTTGGAGTGTCGGCAGTCATGGGTGCTCTGTGAAGCTGCGGTGCTGCCTCAGGGATCTGAACAACGGTTGGCAACTGCCCCTGTTAGAATTTAGGGTTTAGGGTTTAGGGTCGCCATCGCAGCAACTTCCCAGTTCAATCCTACCCCTAAGCGCTTTTGGGCGTACAGAGTTGTTGCTTCGTCATGTAAGATCTGCATGCGGGGAAAGATATGTAAAGACATATACATACACACTTGTTGTTGTTTGTGTTTTTCTTTTATGTTGCGGGGGGTGGGGGGGGTGGGGGGGTTCGGAGGCGTGTGTGCGTGTGTGCGTGTGTGCGTGTGTGCGTGTGTGCGTGTGTGCGTGTGTGCGTGTGTGCGTGTGTGCGTGTGTGCGTGTGTGCGTGTGTGCGTGTGTGGGTGTGTGGGTGTGTGGGTTTGTGTGTGTGTCCTCATGTGGGAGATGCCCAAGCACTAAAATCAAACTGAATAATATTTGCCGAATCGGAGTGGGTAGCAAGATCGCTTAGTGCTTTAACTTCGCGGCGACGAGGGGGGGTGGGGGGGGTAAAGGGTCAGTTACTTCAAGTTCGGAGAGGGAGGGTGGGGACGAAAGGACCGGGCAACAAATTTTTCAACTCCAGCAAGTATCCCTAAACTCGCCACAAATAGTTGAACGTCAGATTCCCGTTTCTGAAGACTCATATGGGGGTTTGCAAATGGGGATACCCTTTTTGGGGCTTCCTAAAAAGCTTTTGCAGCACTAGGGGTGTATCGAGGGGCACCCTATTTGGGGAATACTCATATCTACTAGCACGACTACCTTGTGTGGACCACATGTCGGGTATCAGTGGTGCGATAATGCAGGGCTCATTCAACACAGGGCCGAGGTCGCGTGGCGAAAGGAAGATCTCGTTGCAAGCCAGCTGCCTGCATTGACCAGTTTTCTCCAAAACCTCTGCTGTGTGCGTCAGAAGTGAAGTCAAAACTTTAGGGTTTAGGGTTTAGGGGTTAATCTATGGATATCTAGCCTGGTCAGCCTGGTCAAGGTCACCCCCTACGCCATAAGCCCTGCAAACCCAAAGCCGAAAACTTAAGCCTAAGAGACTACCTAGAGTAAACGGAATGTTCTTTTAAAACGAAATTTGCATCAGCTAATAGGTATATGTACACCGGTTAAAGGGGCACATGTTCGACTCGGCCCATCTCGCTGCCGTGCTTGGAAGACGGGACTAGGTTTTGCATCGGGCTTAGTCTGAAGATGCTATGAAGCATCTGGTTGCTGAGTCGCTTGCCCAAATGCTATAGGTCCAACCTGAAACCTGAGAAAACTCCTTCTGAGCATCCGTTAAGAACCTTCTGTGAGCGACGCGACCCAGTACTTCGGTGATTCAGACTGGCGACCGTGATGTGGGGTATATGCGGAAGAGGCTGCAGGCACAGAGGCATAGGTCGCAGAGCCCGTTGCCAGGAAACCCGGCATCTGGCAAGAGTACCGACCTCAAACAAAGCAAGAGCCAGACCTCCCCAAATACCCTCGTAAACACCCTACAAGGAAGATACGCTCCTGCTGTGATTCCAATGCCACTCTTGAGAGGTGTAGGGTTTGGGCTTGGGGTTTCCTCGACGGGTGGCCATCATGCGAAGAAGCCGCAGGACCCGCAGAGGCGTAGCCGTAGCCGGCAGGGCCCGCAGAGTCGTAGCCGGCGTAGCCCGCAGGCCCGGCAGAGGCGTAGCCCGCAGGGCCCGCAGAGGCGCAGCCCGCAGGGCCCGCAGAACTGTAGGCCGCAGGGCCCGCAGATCTGTAGGGTGTTGGGCCCGCAGAGGCGTAGGCCGCAGAGCCAGTTGCCATGAAACCAGTTGCCCCATCGGAGCACTGGCCTCGCATATACCCTTAAGACCCTACAATGGGGTTTAGGGTTTAGGGCTTAGGGAGTATGTTGATGGAGGCCAAATGCTTTCAGTATTGGCCTCAGCTGAAAGCAAGCAATGCAGTCGCGTTGCCTCAGCTTGATACTAGGTCCTTATATAGCCCAAGAATTTAAGCCTGTTACTTTCATGCCCGCTTCCTTGTTTTGAAGAGTGTATTGGCTGGTCTACGTCCTAGGTACACCCTAAAACCCCTAAACCTCCTAAAGCCCCCCAAGCCCCAAATTCCTAAACCCTGAACCCCAAACCTTAACCCTCTCGCAGCGCAAACCCCTAAAACTCCCAAGCAGGGCGGCCAGTGCTTCTGCTGGAAGCTGCTTCACAGCGGTAGGAGTAGGTTCTCCTGTGTTTTCGACGCCAAGCTTGGAGTCGGCTTGGGGTTTAGGGTTTCGGGTTTGGTTTCAGGTTTGGGGTTTGGGGTTCACGGGGGCGTGGGAGCTGTTTCCCATCTCCATCACAAGATGGCTCTGCGATGGCGAATTATTTGAGACAACGTCCAAGTTGTCGGGGGGGAAAGGGTCTACTTAGCCCAAGTACCCAGAGTACCCTAAACCCTAAACCCTAGACCATGATTGCACTTATGTGTATTTCTGCTTTGTAATGCCCTTTTACTGTTTTGGGCTTTCGCGCGTCGATGAGAAGAGTTAACCACAACACAAATGGTTATCAACATATTGACGACCCCACCCCCCACCCATAAACCCTAAACCCTGCACCCTCAAGAGTCTGTAAGCACCTCCCAAATCGGCAAAACCATCGACTGGCACCCGAACTTAACCGTGTTCTGGCCAGATCAGCCGACATTATATACATATCTCCAACTACCCTTCTTGTAGCACCAGACCCCAGGTATGACTTCCCTTGAACCTGCAGGGACAGCCCCGCACTCATCATGGGTTCCCCTACAACCCCCTTTTCGCCCCCCTCGGCCCTAGGTTCCCGCTACTTGCAGTAGGGATAATTCAGCCTAAGGTTATTTAACCTAGGGGGGGGGGAGTATAGAGGGGGGTAGTAGGGCCTTAGTAGGGGAACCCATGAACTCAGGGCTCTCCTTCCATCGCCAGCCGGCCAATTATTCCTTGGCTGCCGCCCAGGCCGTTGATTCGACTTCTTTGGCTTGTCCTCGGGCTGGAGCAAAGGCGCGTGATGATCTGTGGCTTTATTTGCTATCCCCTTGGTTGCTATGTAATTAGAGGAGCCCCAAAACTCGTAAAGCGCGAACGTTGTAGTAAAGTCCCACCTCGTCCCTTCACTTCTGACAGGACAGCATACCGGGAAGTGTGCAGAGCGTCTTCTTGTAGGATGGCCCGTAAGATATTAAAAAAAAAAAATCCCAAGGGCCTCCTGAGTTTTCAAGCCAGGGACAAGGGATTTTTGTGCAGAATGACAGGTATGTGACTGCAAAGTTATGACTGCCTAAAACCCTAAAACCCTAAAGTCCTAAACCCCAAAACTCCAAAACCCCAAAACCCTCAAACCCTGAAACCCTAAAACCCTAAAACCCCAAACCCCAAGCCGCCGCCTCTAACTTCCCAGGCTTGATTCATCCATAAATCTCAGAAACTTGGTGGGTGGCTAGCGCCTCAAATCTGCTGAGCAACATCCTCCCTCTAGATAAAATATAAAGAAACCATGAAGGGGAAGTGATCCAAAGGGCCTATCCGACTGAAGCCCTGCTGCGTGAACTTAGACTGAACTAAAGGCTGGGTTGAGGGTTCAGGGTTGAGTTTAGTGCCTGCTTCCTAGAAAATCCCCCACAGCAGGTGCAAGACATAGTAGCTTAGTGGCTGAAGGATATGGCGCCATCCCCCCCCCCCCCCCCCCCCCCCTGGCAGAAGACGCACTCCTCTCCACCCACAACAAAGGGACTCTTCCGACATCGCGGGAACTCAAAGTTGTGACTTCGGTTTTGGGGGAGCCCGAACTACGACGTGAGTTGAGTTGCCTGAATACACCGTGGGCCCTCAAGGTGCCATGCACCTATACTACCCAAGCATACCAACACCCTGAGCCACTCAGCCCGAAAAAAGCCTGCACTGCCCTCAACCGTCAGCGCCAAAAGCACCTTAATTAAGTCCCGAGCCCTAGACACAAAACCTCAAATCCTACGTATAACCCTAAACCCTAAACCCTAGACCGTAAGCCCGAAGCCCGAAGCCCGAAGCCCTAAGCCCTAAGCCCCAAGCCCTAAACCCACCCCTCCCTTTGTCCCAGTTGGCACAAAGGCTCCGAAATCTTCAGGCGCTGTACTGCCTTCGGGGGAGACGACTTGACAAAAGGGATAACTTTGGCGTAAAGGTTTAAGTTTAGGGTATTTTGGGTTGAGGTTTAAGTTTAGTTTTTTTTGGGTTGAGGTTTAAGTTTAGGTATTCTTGGGGTTTAGGTTTAAGTTTCGGTTTTTTGGGTTGAGGTTTAAGTTTAGGGTTTTTTGGGGGTTTAGGTTTCAGTTTAGGGCAGGGCTTCAGGGGCGCGGCATGCTTTTGGGGTCCAGGGCATGTAGGCTTTTCGTTGGGCTCCATCATCTCGCGTGACTTTGGTTCGGGGTTTATGGGCCCTGCAAGTAAGCCCTACGCCCCGTCGTGGCAGCGTAGGCACCCCCCCCCCCCAGTAGAGCCACTCGCTGTGGCTCCAGGCCCCAGAGTGAAGACAGCTCTTCACTTCGCCAAGAGCATCCGGATGGGACTGCGGGGAGAGCATGGTCCATGGACCAAGAGCGATGAAATGCCGCCAGTCAGGAAAGTACGTCCTTGCCACGGGTTTGCGATTCAAGCGCCGAGACCTGCGCAAACACCTAGGTGAGGGGACTGCTTGGCCCTTTGATTTGGACTGTAAGCTTCTAAACGGCGAGGTCGAGATCCCCCGCGCATGGAGAGCGCGATTGTTGACCCAGGGCATTTCAGCTTTCAACATAGTTACGCACAAGGGATAACACGGGATAAGTCCTCTTTCCCTTGAAGCGTTGGAAGCCAGCGCGTCCGCAAAAATCCTAAAGCCCAATAAGGTTTAGGGCCTATTCGGAGGCTCTCGAGTCTGAGCAAAGAAGCTACAGTTTACTTTACTTCTATGAGCCTGCAAGCGAGGGTTGCGGGCCTGGTTGTGTGAGAGTTATAGGGCTCAGGGTCCGGTTGAAGGCTTCAGGACGTAGGGCTTCATGGTATAGGACCCCCTGGCTGCACCAGCCTTCTGATTGTATTCAACTCCACTCCCTGAAAAGGGTTCAGCCTGTGACCTTGAGTAACCTGGGAAAACTTGGGGGTTCCATTTTGCCCTGAACCCTGTACCGTAATCTGTTTCGTTCTCTCGCTCTCTCTCTCTCTCTCCATACCTCCCTCTTCTCTCTCTCTCTCTCTCTCTGTCTCTCTCTCTCTCTCTCCTTACATATACATACACAAGACTCATATGTATGTATATATGTATATATGTATATATGTATATCCATACATATAGTAAGAAATTAAAATAAATAAATACATAAATACATAAATAAATACATAAATAACTATATATATATATACACACATACAGAAGGGGAACCTGACCCTGGCAGAGGGCCTCCGCCAGCAAGTCCACGTTCACATGCTCCGTCAGGGCCTGCTTTTCTGAGGGTCCGGGTTTAGGGTTTATAGGGTTCGGGTTCGTAAGCCCAAAGAAACCCTAAATCCTGAACCTTAAGCCAACCCGAAACCCTCCCTCAACTGGACGTTCTTTAAGGGGCTCCTTAGGTGTTGAGAAGGTGCTGAAGTGGCTACAATGTGCCCCATCGCGTTTAGAGACTGCCCTGGCCAAAGGAAGTTGCCCGAAGATCTTTGGTTCCAGTGCGCACCTCCTCAGCCCTAATCAGCAGACCTCGCGGCCCTGTTTTCAGGGTACATAGATAGTATAGGCAGGATCCTCGGGGCGTCCCAGAAACAAGAGGGAGGGTGACTCAGACCGCGAAGTGTGCTGTATGCGCCTTGGACCGAACTGTATGCGCAAACCAGGAATCCTGGCGTCCCCATGTGAAACTTTCCAAATCTTGCCTAAAGAGTAGACGAATTATGTAACCCGAAGGATGTTTACCCACAACTGCACGTGGATTCCCCCTTCTCAAACTATGAGCATCTGTTTAATTAATACCCCCACATTTAAAGAATTTTTTTTTGGCCGGAAGCCCGCCGGAAGACTACTTTCCATTAGGGTGGATTTCGTATGGGGCAAACCCACCACATTTAAAGAAATTGTTTTCGGGGGGGGTCCAAGAATCTGTCGGCAGGCTTCTTGTTTTGCTTGCGGAGATGCGAAGCTACAGCACCTCAGGGATCTGCAGCCTATTGTTTTTAATAGGGAATCACTGCAGGGCCATGGTCCAATTATTGCGGAACCCTGCCTTCCTTATTGCGGGTGGGGGGGGGGGCCCCCCCCCAATTAAACAGATGTAGGGTTTAGGGTTTAGGGTTTAGGGTTTAGGGTTTAGGGGATACACCACAAAACCCTAACCCTGTGCACAAACCACGAGCCCAGCCCATCGTCCAGCAAGGCGCAGCAAGAAGGTCAACTCTGACACCATCTTTAAAAACCTGGCGCGCAGGCGCAACTCTTTGCAGCCATGACCGATTTTTTCTGGGGCGAGAGCCGGTTGTCCTGCCTTCTCGCCTTTTTGCAAGTTCTGAGATGTCTGGGTTTTCGGGTAGTTGGGGGATGTCTACTGTGTGCTTGTGTTTGTGTGTTTGTGCTTGTGCTTGTGTTTTTTCTTGTGTGTGTGTGTGTATGTCAGCCCGCCCGCCCGCCTGCCTGTGTGTGCGTGCGTGCGTGCTTGTGCCTGCCTGTCCGCCTGCCTGCCTGCCTGCCCGCCCGCCTTCCTGTGTGCGTGTGTGCTTATAAATTATGGCCCAAGACATCTTTGCTCAGAGAGAGAGAGAGAGAGAGTACCGCCGTACCTTGCAGCTGCTGCGCGGACGATGCTCGGTGACCCCAGCGTATATGGTTGGCTGGTCATGAGATCTCGCTTCTACTAGGACTTCAAGTCGTTTCACGATGTTTCTAGGACAGCGCTAAGTCGAGAAGAAGCCATCGACCTCAGGCCGTTTATGGACCGGATGAATCATGAACAGGGGCATGTTGTAGTTCAACACCTGATTCTGCACGCAGATCTCGCTCTTACTCTAGCGGGCCACTCGCTGCAATCATCTGCCATCCAACTCACATCATTCCGGCAAAAATGCATTGTTGATTTCTGAAAGGTTGCGCCTGCAGGGATCTTCTTACAGGTGTGATGGTTCATAGTGCCAGGCTGGCCAGCGGTTTCTATCCCCTTAGAGATCCCCCCCATGCCAAGATGTGTAGCCCTATGAGCCCGCAAACCTCAATCCTTCGCGGACCTGAAGGTACGCAAGCAAAGGTGACACATATATATATATATATATATGTTTTTCTTTATTTATTTATTTATTTACAATGACTTTAGTCTACGCGTTGAAGGTTGAGGTACTGTGGGGGCTCTAGATCGACAGTAAACGTAGGCAGGCCTGTGGAGCGCTTGGATTCTCGACCTCGCGCAGTCCAAACCTGTGCAAAGCTGTTCAGGGTTTAGGGTTTAGGGTTTTTGGGTTGAGCGCCAACGCCCGAACCCTGCCATTGGGGGGGTGCCCCTATTTTCGTAAACCCCTTATACACCCTGAACATTCAGGGTTGAGTGTCGAGGCTGGAGTGGGAGTTTAGGGTTTAGGGTTCAGGGTTTGGAGGAGTTTGGGGGGCTCAAGGTTTAAGATGTACTTCGAGCATCTTGGCCCCGTTAACTCAGCTGCGACTCTGAGATACTACCCTCAACTCCCCCCCCCCCCCCCCCTCCTCCCCTTATTTCTAAACCCTACTTAAACCCTAAACCCTCGGGCAAAGTGTAGCGCCCCGGGTTTAGGGTTTAGGGTTTCGGGTTTAGGGGCCCGGTCCTCGCCACAAAGAAAGCCAAGTTCTCACCAAGACCCTGGTGGTGGGCCTCGCCAGTTGGATGGGTTTAGGGTTTAGGGTTAAGAGGTTCCTGTAATGGAAAGGCACAGACAACATAAAATAATTAATTTACGGAAAGAATAGGAACAAATTAGAAATTGAAAATGCGAATTGCCGAAATTAGATACAAAACTGATTTTCAAAAATAGCAAAAAACTATGAAATAAGTAGGGAAAAACACAAAACAGAAATACGAAAAAAATAGAGAAAAATAGGGGAAAAAAATAGAGTTTCGTATTTTTTGCAGCAATTCTCGAATGTCAGGACTTCCAGGCTGTAAATTCCGTATTTTTCGTCCTATGTTTTCCCTATTTTTTCCTAATTTCCGTTCCTATTTTTTGCGTATTTTTTGTATAATTTTGAAATCTCCATTTGTATTTTTATTTTTCCATCATTTCGTATTTTATTCGTATTCATCTCCTAAAAAATTTATTTTGGGTTTCCAAGCATTTCCATTGACAAGAACGTCTTAAGTTTAGGGCTTAGGATTTAGGGTTTAGGGTTTAGTGTTTCGGTACTTTAACACTAAATCCGGAAGCCTTAATCTGGACTTCAGCAGTAGGGTTTATGGGATTGCAATTTCAGGGTTCATTCCGTCCCCGGTTTCTAAAACCTAGGCTAGCCGTGCTGGCTAGTTGACAAAGGAACTTCAAAAAAGGAACGGCAAGCACGCAAAAGTCCCTAAAACCAAAAGAAAGCTTGTTCCAGGCTTTCCTTCTCGAGGCCTCTCTGATTCCGACCTGGGAAGTCTCTCTGGGACCTCTTCCGGGGATTTGGCGGCCATTCTAATTCAAACGATTAACAGCAGAATAGATAGTTTAAAGGACATTGCCTGGGTTTCGAAGGTTGCTCTGATTCAGGGCACGCTGAACCCCGGAAAGTGCCCAGGCCACCCCCCTGCAAAGCCTCAGTCCCACACGCATCGGCGGTACCCTTTTCTTCAAGGGTCTCTTAAGGGAACCTAAATTTTCAAAACAAAAAGAGTGAATAAGGGCCTACTCTGTGTTCTAATTGTATAACGTGGATGGCCGGCCGGGGTGGGTTGACAAGTGATGTGTGCACGCGGCCCGGGGGCGCGCCCTCACATGACACACCCTAAACCCTAGAATTCCTAGAAACTCTGGAAACCCTAGGAACCCTAGAAAGCATTAGCCTAGAAACCCTAAGAAACCCTAGAACCGCACAAGTTCTTCTTCTAGGAACCCTGGAAACCTTTTTCTGGGGTTTTCTAGTCGGGTGTAATGGGTTTATAGGGTTTACGTGTAGGGCTTGTAGGGTTCAGGGTATGGAGGTCTAGGATTCCGGGCTGGTTTAGGGCTGCACCCTAAACCCTAAACCCTAAACCCTAAACCCTAAACCCTAAACCCTAAACCCTAGGAGTCAGGGCTACGGGGCCTAGGGCTGATTCTTTACGCGAGAGAGGCCCCGCCTCAGCAACCCGAAGGCCGGCGCCAAGGAGCGGGTCCCGAGTGTTTTGAAAGAAAGTAAACGCTTGCCTGGGAGAGCGCAGATGAACGATGTTTAGGGTTTAGGGTTTAGGGTTTGGGGTTTAGGGTTTGGGGTTTAGGGTCTTGCTACGACACGAAGCAAGGAAATCAGAGTCTCAACCATGCAGCACGGGACGAGCCCTAAGCGCCCCAAACACACCAGCCAAACCCAGGTGCGAGAGGCGTGACTTCGCTTTGGTATGCAGCTACACAGCTAGATTTGCTCAGCAAGGCTTACAAAAAATGTGGGGGGGGGGGGGGGGGGGGAGGGCGGGACCTAGGAAGTTTTAGGCGAAGCTTCTGGGCCTTGCAGGGCACTCAAGAGCTCCTGACGTGCCAACCTGACATGCCAACAAGCCGACTTTGCTGTCGAATGGTCGACGAAGTTGACAAACGCCAGCGCTACATTGCGATCCTCCCAGGGCTTTGCACTAACTAGTTCATGGTTGGGATAGAAATTTTTAAAATTAGAAGTTCTATTCCCTATTGCGTTTAAGTACCCTAAAAAAGTAAAATGTTACCCCCCACTGTGACAAAGCTAAAGCCGACAAAGCCGCCCAAGTAACACGCGTCCAAACGTTCAGGACTTGGGAAGCACCAGGGTCGCAGGCGTTCACTTTAGATCACCCCGAACTCGGCCCAGGTTGCCCAGCAACCCTAAACCCTAAACCCTAAACCCTAAACCCTAAACCCTAAACCCTAAACCCTAAACCCTAAACCCTAAACCCTAAACCCTAAACCCTTGCTTCCGGATGGAGAAGGTCTGAGCTCCAGGGTTTGAAAAGTTAGGGGGTTTAGGGCACCAGCAGCCAAGAAGTGATTGCAGCGCGTGAGTTTCCCTAAGACCAACGAACAAAGAAAAAACCGTGCTTCCGCCTTGTGCTGGTCGTGTGGAATGTAAACAAAGTCATAGCGACCTGGACCGCAAATGAAAACGTTTTGGGTTTAGGGTTTAGGGTTTGGGGGTTAGAGGCTTAGGGTAGCATTGGTCAGCTGAACGCGAAGACATGTCCAGCCCAGCCAGCCAAACCGAATTCCCTCGTCCAAAGGGAATTCTTTGCCAAAGAGCCTTTCTCAGAGAAGGATGCTCGGGGCTTGAACCGTATCCGATAGCCGAGTAAAAATTGTTCTGGAAATGTCAAGGTTACAGTTTCCGGCCACAGGACTTCCGGGCCAAAGCCCCCCTCCATAGAATCTAGAATGCTTTCGGGTGCAGGGCATCAAATCAAGGGATCCTAATCGTTATTCCAGGCCGAAGCGGAGAAACGGCGACCCCTCAAAGGGGTGGGCGAGGGTTTAGGGTTTAGGGCTTAGGGCTTAGGGGGAAAAGGGTTTTTGCGGTTTGCCTTACCCCGGGTTTGTCTGAGCGGGCCACGTCTTGGTACCACGTAAACCCCGGGTTTGCCCGGTGCCACATTCGTGATTTACCGATGACGTGGTCATGGGTTTCGAGGTCTTGGGCAAACCCCATGTTTGCGTGTGAAACCCCAGGTTTTAACGACCGACCCTATTTTTGTTTGCAGGTCTGGGGGTTTCAGTAGCTAGGTACTCGGGATAGGAGGCAGTGGAGGTACGTAAGGTTTTATGCATCGTACGGAACGTACGCAGCCAGATGCGAGCCCCATCCGGCTTTGCACTCTTTCCACGAAATAGGGCTCAGGGTTTAGGGTTTAATAGACGTGGTCCATATTCCAACCCCGCTGGTGAGGGTGTCGAGAAGCCGCGGGCTCTGTTGCCACTAACATCTAGCAAAGCTGAGATGTACACCCTACACCCTCCTGCTAAGAGTTCGCTCCAGCAGTCTTGCAAAGTTGAAAAGGGTCGGGGCTTCTTGAATCATCCTGCTTGGGCTTACAGCTTGCTGAGGTCTTTAATGGTTTGGGGTGTCAGCACCCGGGACTTTTAGGTTTGAGGTCTAGGGCTTCCATGGCATTCTCAGGCTCGGGCGTCGTATGGAGCGAAACCCAAACTATGGAAACATAGGATCCAGACCGTAAGCCCGCGAACACACGACATTCTCTGTTCGCACCTTCATTCTCACCATCACAAGACCGCATATTCAAAGTACCCAGCGAAAAATCCTGGCTGTTAGTAAGAATACTAAAAGCCCTTAATTCCCCCCTCCGCCCCCGCCATCCCCTGGACTTTGATTTTCATTAACTCGCCCGTGGGAAAGGATGATCGCCGTTCATAATAAGAATCTAGACCCAAGAGTAACCTAGGAAGAAAAAGGGTGCCCTTTTTGGTTTACAGGGGCTGATAAGGAAACCTACACTCTAAAGAATAGAAATAAGGGCCCACTCTGGCACTCTGGGCCCTAGGAATACGATTAACATTGAATTGGTGAGCAAAAGGTTTCAGATGAAACTACCGGGGAAGAGACCCAGCGAAATACATTGATTGGTTTTGGTGTGTGTGTGTGTGCGCAGCAATATCACCACGGGTGTATGATACTTAATTGATTCGATCAGCCGACATTTGTAAGGTTCTCCCTTTTTGTGTAACAGATGGTAACGGGCCCCGAAACATGCAGCCCAATTGCAAAGAAAATGTCAAGGTTGCATTTACCCCTCACCCCCCCTCCCCACACTGCCCTAAACCCTAAACCCTAATCCCCGAAACCCTAAACCCTAAACCCTGAACCGCTCGAGGCCATCGCCTGCGGCAAACCCATCCAAAATCTTGAGCATGGCTGCGACGGTGATGTTACCTCGGAGCTTTTGGATGTGGGGCTTCCTCCAGGGTTTAGGGTTTAGGGTTAAACAAAATGCTTGTTAGACAGCCCTTTGAGCTTTGCACTTAAAAGACTCTTAAGGAGGTCAGCCAAGCTGCTAGGCAATCGCCTGGGGAATCTGGTGTGCGGCAGTTATTCAGCACAATGTTATGTTTAGGGCTGGAGCATGAGTGGCACGAGCAGAGTCTCTTTCCAATGGGAAGGCTCTGTACTGCTGCAAGCAGGGTTAGATTGCCACCGGTGGGGGGGGGGGTTGGTTTAGGGTTTAGGGTCTAGGGTTCAGGGACCCGGGCCATGCATCTCGAGACGTGAAGCATTTTGAGTATTTTGTGCGAATGTGTGATACATGCAGGCATGAGCATCAGGAGTAAATCTGAAAGTATAGGACAGGATAGCGTTTCTACACGTTGCGACAGACGGCCGGCATTGGGAAGTGCCGCGTTAAGAACAAGAGTCTGTCAAGATCTTCCCTAGGGAACTGTAGGGCCCTATCGTATACCCTTTACGGGATTGTACAGGGTACCTCATTATACCCTTTGCGAGATTATATAGGGTACCTCATTATACCCTTTACGGGATGATATAGGGTGCCTCCTTCCCTCCTTCCCTACCCCACCTCAGCATTATCGCAGTAGCATGGTCTGCAAGTTCGTCAGCCGCAGTAGTCGCAGACGAGGATGGCTCCTGCATGGAAGGGTTTAGTGGTTTGGTGGTACTGAGCAGTGTACAGGTTTGTGGATTCATGGGGTCTGTGGGAGAAGGAGACGCCAAGAACATGACACTTGCGATGAATAGTGACGAGTTTTTTGTGCCTCTCATGAGAATGACGAAGTAACAAATTTCAAGAGGGCCCAGTTGCAGTCAGATGAAGAGTTTGACGTTGCTGAGTGAGTCTAAGAACAATTCCACATACCCCGAAACCATACCCCTGAACCTATGAAAGGAGAATCGAAGGCAGGATCTTACCACACCCCTTTAAATTCTTTTGAGGGGTATGCACAAGGGGTATGTTGAAAAGTTCTTAGAGTGCGTGGGCACGGGGGGGAGGGGGTCTGATCAGCCATTTGGTTCGCCCTGTGAGTGTGTGCTTACGAGCTGGGGCACACAATGAAACCAGCTTGGGATGGTCCCCCTTATAGCCCTTAATAGGGATTCTAGTACCCCGTATAGTAATCCCTACTACGGACTGTTAAGGGGGGACATCCCAAAATGCAACAGTAGTTGGCAAGGCAGCCGGGTTTAGTGTTTAGTTGCTTGTGGCACTCTATCGGCACGTGCTAGCATGGCTTCGTGCTCACGACTCTTCACTGCGCGCTCTCCCGCTAACCACCATGTCAACACTGAACTGCTGTCTGACTTGTTGTTGCGGCGTTGAGTAACCATATATTGCAATAAGGGCACCCTGTTTGGGGTTGCTTACTGTAAGAGAGAACCCAGAACCCCCAAAACAGGGTCAAGGGCACCACTGGGTTACCAAGAGAAGGAGGAAGTTGCATCAGCGCACGGGCTCTCCTGATCAGGTGGCCCCGTAAGGCTTGTCTCGGACATCCCGGACAATGCACGACTACCCTTTCATCTTCTCTGGGGGAGCTTGCAGCCCACAACTGCGAAATGGCAGGACATGACTTTCCACGAATCGTTCACGCGCTCTCGCGATGATGGTTGGGTTTGCTTGGGGTTCATGGGTAGTTATGCATATTATGATTCATCACCCATGAGCCTTCAAGCGGGGTTGAGGGTCTGGAGTATGGGTGGTTTCGATTCTGCACCGCAAGGTACTTCGAGCTACAGATGCATACGGTCAATCTTTGTGACTGAGAACATATGGGTGCCTGGAAGCTGATTTATCACAGCTACTTAGGAAAGCTGAAGGGAACACAGGGCTTTTCTGGATGCTGATCGACACAAAAACTCTGGTCAAGAGGCTATACTGCACTATGCCAGCTACATCTCAAGTCGGCACGCCACATCTGCCAGCCTGAGCGGTACAGTACGCCGTGCACTGTCGCGCTTGTCAGCAGGTGATGTACAGGCTCAGAACAAAATGTCTGGAATGGACCTTGTATCTCCCTGCAAGGCTCCTTTATGTTGATCTTTTTTGGGCGCGCAGTTGGTTAAGCCTGGAACTGCGCAAAAGACACGCTTACCTGTCGAACTGCCCGGCACACGTGCCACCTCAACTTCAGCCAAGATGAACAAACCCCTACTTTGGAGTCGACCCAGGAAAAAGTATACGCTGCTTAGGCAAAAGCAGCTATAACAAGAACCCAGAACCCAAAAAGTATTAAAGTATAGTACGACAAAAACCAACAACCCACAAAGTTGGGCTTTGCATTGCTGGCATCTCCGAAGGGGCGCCCCATATACACTGGAGCCCTACATGCACTCGCCAACAAACAAAAGCGACAATGACAAGAACTTGTTTTACATGAACAACTCTCACAGTCCCAGCAAGACTTCATGGAATTTAGGCACCGAAAACCCACATTCAGGATGTTCTTGTGTAACCTGATTCCATCATGGTACTTCAGATGTAGACCCTAAACCCTAAACCCTGGGCTAGGATGTTTCAGTTTGGGATGTCCAGGCCAAGGTTCACGAGCCTCAGTCACGAGCTTGCGTAGGGTGCAGCAGTCTTCGGGGTTTGCGGGCTGGATTTGGGGTTTAGGTTGGGTGGGATGTTGCCCCTTATACTAACAGTCCTTAATAAGGATTATAATAGTAGGGCGTAATACAATCCCTATTAACGGCTGTGCGTTTTACGGGGGGACATCCCAAGTTTCCCAAAGATCCCAAGCCCCAAGCCCTGCGCACGGCGCAAACCAGCGAGGGAATGCCAGGCGTCAGCGGTGCCATGGCGCAGCAAGCCAGGGAGGCCAAGATGGAGCTTCGGCTGGTTATGCTTGTTGCTTTTTTTCCCCTTGGGGGGGGGGGGGGGGGGGTACCCTGAACCTCCGGTTCGAAAAAGCCTAGAACGAGGGCTTTCGGCTTTCAGGCTTTGGGGTGTGTTGCGGATCTGGGGTGAGGCCCCCTCCTTCGCGGGAGCCGAAGTGGAAGCCCGGAAATAACGTCAGCATAAACTTGTGGCTCTCGGGTTACGACTGCTTCTGGTTTGGTTTAGGGTGCTGAGTCTGCGGCGTCTGGGTTTCGGGGCTTGTGGCGCAACTTCTCGCTCAATGCATGCGGGCACAGAGCCTCTGCCTCAGACAGTCAGAATTCCCGACAGTATGCTGGGGGTAAAGGGTTTGGGGCTTAGTTTGTTGCCTGGGCGCTTTTGGGATGCCTAGGATGGCGTCGGACCACTTGACCTTGTGAACATGTTCTTCAGAAAGCTCCTCGACGAGTTTTTGTAAGGGAAGCAACCTCAACTCTAGAGCCTAAACCCCAATCCCAAGGGCCTTCCAAGGAACACTGCACGGGTTCTGGGCTTGCAGGGATTAGGAGCGCCAATTCGTCGCTGTTTCGGGAATCCTGCTGTCCTGCTCGCACCCTGGCATCCAGACAACAAGCCTGAACGATCTGAGTGGGGTTCATGCCATTATTCTTAGGGGGTTGGTGTAGATTAGTGTCCCGTTGGAGGTGCTTTGATCAGGGGATCTACAAGCTGCACCGGGGAGCCCGTGTTCAGACCCCCATATCGCCAAATGAGCCCTCTCCTCCCACCCTCCTCGCGCCTCGGAGCGGAACACGCTTCTCATCACGGCTGGCAAACATCCGAGAAATGTTGACAGGCAGGAAACGGGAAGGTTTGGGGTTCATACTTCATAGGCACTTCATAGGGCTATAGGATTTCAGGGCAGGGCTGCTTTAGGGTTTCTATTTTTTGCTTAACAGCCTCCTGAAATTGCAAAAAATGATCCCTACATTGCCCTTATATATATATATATATGGAAGAATATTTTCTATTTCTTGGGGGGTTCTTAAGCAAATAGGCCGTCTAGGCTGTAGGATTGGTTGCAAGGTGGGTGACGGGGCTTCAGCCCTTCTTCAGGCGGGCGTGGCTTGATCGACAGGCCTTAGGAAGTCGAGTCGTGTTGCTGTCCTTCGAAACCAAGAGCCAAAACACCCTATCCACCTGTTGGAGTTTAGGGTTCTCAGGGGAGGCTTGGACCTAAGCCCATGCAAACCTTGTAAGTCCTGAGCAGGCTGATGGGCTTTAAGAGGAACCGTGGTTTACAGCTTGTTGGGTCGTTCTGCGCAAAGCTGTTGTGAGAGTTGGCCCAGCATTTGGGGTTCGCCACCCTGCGAGTGCTTGCCACTTAAGCCCACGAGGCATCACATCCCAAACCCGGAGCCAAAAGACTCTCCGAAACTGGTCAGTGCTATCCCAACTTAGAAATCTCCCTGAAACCCTACAGGCCTGAAGCCCTAAAGGCCCGAGACACTAAAATACCCTAAGCCCGAATTACCCGAAGCCCATATAAACCCAAGCATAACCCACAGGAGAAGCAGGCTCATCATCTAGGGCTATAGGGCCTATAGGGCTTCTAGGCCTTGTAGGGCTGAGAGGGCTTAGAGGGCTTATAGGGCTTAGAGGGCTTTTTGGGGCTTCGGGCTTCGGGATTCGGGATTCCCAAGGCTTCAGGCCACACCTGGGTGGCAGGCTAGTCGGTCGGGCCTCAGTGTTGGAGCAGCTCTCAGCGGGGGGCGTTGCTCATGTGGCACACTAAAACGAGGCAGAGCGTTGCCGACGTGCAACACGCAAGAGTTTCATGAAGCATGAGATGCTCCCTTTCGACGAGATTAGGCAGATCTGCCATTTGCAGTACCACGTCAGTGCACGTGGGTGCAAGGAGGTGGGCGACTGGTGGCTGAAGCAGAACACAGAAATGATGTGACACGGTTGCTGAAATGGAAGGGTCATTTGAGGCTTCTGGGGAGTTGAGCTTGGGCTCGTACCACACTAAGGTACATGTCATCAAGAAGCTAAACTATTGCCCTTTGTTTCTTCGGGTG